TAACAAAATAAAGTTATGTAAAAAAGAAAAATTGCATTGTAATTTCAATAATAATGTTTTTATAACGGTTATAACGTAATAATAGTAAGTAATAGAAAATTCATTGTCACGTGGTAAAATCATTTAAAATTTATTGCAAATTTATTTTCGAAAGAAGGTTCACTACATATAAGGTAAATTTATTTATTTTATTTTTTTATATATGTACTTATTTGCAAAGAAAATAACTTAAGTTTAACAATTTAACTTTAATATACTAAATTTACTGTTCGAAATATTAATTTAGTTGACATTTCAAAGGCTTTTATTATAAAAATTAGTAAAAATAATGGTCTGATGTTCGTAATATGATAAATAAAAAATTACAAAGTAACTAATTGGTTTTTTCATATATTTTGAAACGTTCATTATTATTTCATTTGTGATATTATTATTTTCATACTTGGATAAGAAAATTGTTGTGCTCGTATAGTTTTATGCATGTAAAAATTATAAAATTTATTGCAAAATTAATTGAAACTATAGAAAATTTAAGATTATGTACACAATGTGTAGAATTTGTGGGAGTTAGAAAGTAATTTTCTTACATAATTTTGAGAGAACAGTTCTTTCAATAACCATGATGAAATTATTTTGTTGAAACCTTTTTTAAGAATTAGAATGTAGGTTAGTGTATACACAGAGAGCAATAGAGAGATTTTTAACATAATCTGTAAAATAATTCTTTAAAACAAAGATAATTTTTAATAAATATTCTTAATCCTGAATAGCTCTAAAAAAATAATTAACTTCATAATTAGTAGGAAATTGAAAAATTAAGACAATATTTTAAATTTTAATAGAAAAATATTATATTGCTTTGATAATTCGAAAAAAGCTGATCTATTTTAATTATGAAGGCATATAGGCGAACGATTCGATAACTTTATTGTAGTAACGTGCATGAAGCTAACCTAAAATATTTAAAATCAGTTTAAATATTTCTTATGCAATCTTTCTTTAAAATTTAAAAAATTTAAAAACTAATTATTTCTTCACCTGCCACTGTTATTTCCAACATAAATAATATGTTAATCTTTTTTTTTTCCTCAAAGTTTATCATTTTTCAAAGTATAGTTATTGTATGTTAGTGTTCATGTTATCCATGTAGTATGCATGTTATAAAATCGATAAAGTGCACCTAAATATTAAATGGCATAATATTATATCACTGTTTCTGAAATTTCGTCTGCCTATTTAGAAATACATCATCATGTATCCATATATGTGTATATTAAAAATAAAGTATTCAAAATGGGTTGCCATCTTGTTATAAGAATTAAAAAAAGAAAATTAATAGTGCGTTATTCGGTCGGAATCTATTTTAGATTTTATTGCTTTGTTTATAATATCAAGGATTAAATTTTTGATTAATAGAATCTATACATCATAATCATTCTAATTCTAGTAGGTTCTAGTAAGTCCAAAATAACTAGAATTTATTTAATTACATTTTAAGTAAAATGTGTTTGTTTAAGTTTATAAACTAAAAGTTGAGATTGTTATCGGGAAAATGTGATACTGCACTTCTAATCATGTTTATTTCATCCTTTATTGTGTGAAATTCCATTAAAAATTATTTGATTACAATGGACTCTGCTGAAAACTTTTTTACCTATAGGTACCCCAAAATTAACTGAGTGAAAATAATTTTATAAAATTATCTTATTATTATTCAAACATTTTTACAATTAAATTATTATTTTTAAATCGTACAGAGTTTATAGCGGAAGAAAATGTTATAATAAAGTGTTACGTTACAACATTTTGATTGTTACAACATTTTGAATGTGTTTTGCATTCTACATTTTTATGTAGCACAACCATTTAAAATTCATTCATTTTATGCCATTTCTTTTCTCAAACAATAATCAATACTTAACTTGTTGTTGATGTTTTGAATATTTTTTTGAATACTTTTCAATATGTTAATTTATTCAAATTTTATGCGAAAATATAAAAACAGTAAAACTAGTGTTGAATTCAAATTTTTACACTAAATTTTTGGATGATATACAATATACACAATACATTTAATATAGTAGAAACAAAATTGAATGGGAAAAACAATTAAAATAAAAAGTCTTAAAAGAAAAAAATTATAAAAGTCATATTTCATATTGTGATGAATATTAAACAATAATTTTGATAATAAAAAAAAATAATAATGGTAACACTATATTTTAAAATGGCATTATTAAAATGAAATTTATATTATTTTTTTATATAAAATTTAAACAATCAAGAATTTCTAGTCAAATATTATGCTGATTATAATTTTATTCAAAAATTCATATATTACTTCATTAGGACACAGCATGATTTTTGTCTCTTAATTTATGCCAATATAATTTTCTTAAGAGTGAAATTAATAAATTATAATAATGAATTCAATAAAGCTTTCAAAATTGAAAGATAAAGGGGTGATCATGTTAAAATATTGCTTTTAATATTTTAATAAATTTTAATCTTAAGTTCAATTAGTAAGGCAATGGAAGTTCGAGTGTAGTTCAACTAATTTCAATTAAATCGCAGTATTATTTCAAATCAAATTGATTTTTAACCTTTGTTTTATACTGGGATTTACTAAAAAGTATTCCAAAATGCATACTTTTAAAAAGTATGGTAAATATATATACATACATATATAGCTATTGTACTAAACGTAAATATTCGTGTATAAACGTGTATTTTTGATATTATCGAATCGGTTAGTCAAGGGTTATTTCTGATGGGTTTTCTTTGTGAATGTATTCATTCATTTGAAACGAAAATTCAAAAACAATTTAGCAATTAGTTAATAAACTTTGGGGCTATGTGAGCTATGTAAATTCACTCGTAAAATTATTAAAAATCAAAAAAGTAAAATTACTGGCACAATGGGAAAAATCGCGAAAATTATATTTGAATGGAATTAATTTCTGAACAAGTTACGTTATTCAAGTTATGCTGTTAAATAAATTAATTTCGTTTTTTTTTGCAAAATATTATAGACAAGTTATAAGCATTTACAATTATTTATCTATTATAAATTAGATTATCCAAATTTTTATGAGATTTTAATGTAAATTAATATGCCGTTAGCATTAAAACAATCAAAACCTGAATAATATTTATCTATTTATTTTTTTTTGTTTGTCGTTGATAAACAAGAGTTATACTAACTAAAAATATGAGGAAAGAAAAAGATAAGCCAGATAATTTTATTCCTATAGTTTTGTTTTATAATTTTAATTTAATATTAAAACTTTTATCTTTAAAAATTACGTTAAAATTAATTTAAAAACAATAGTAAAATATTTCGGAATATAATTATAAAATAAAATTTATGAAAATTTTATGAAAATATTCGATTATGAAATAATGCCATCTTTCTTTTTATAATTTTATAAATGATTAATCGAAAATGTTAAAATTTCATATTTAAATTTTTGTTTTTTTTGTTATAGAATGCGATTTATAATCGTATTTAATAAATCGATTAAAATTACAAGGGAAACAAAATTAAATAACAGATTGGATTTTAAAAATTGGACTTAAATTTTTAAAAGAATGGAGGAAAAGATGCTTTTAAAAGAAAAGTATTATAAATCATTTTAGGTGTTTTTTTAAATAAATTACAAAATGTGAACGACTTGTGGTTGTCTAAGATTATGAAAGACATGAATGTATAAGTGTTAAATAATATTTTTAATAAGTTGATAATAAAACTTTAGAAAAATCCAAATAAATATTCATTTAAATAATACTTTGATTATGTGTATATGTACATACGTAAAATACTGCACATTATAATAAAATAACTTTGGTTAATAATATTAGTTTATATATTTTGAAAATTAATAAATTTGTTAAACGGTATGAATTTCAATAACAAATTATTGAATCTTGAATTTTGAAATTAGTCTTAAGTCCATTTGCAATCTCATAACTCTTTTATTTTCTTACACCAATCATAATGTCAATTGTTTGAATTGCAAATTATGTAATTTTAAACAAAAATAAATATATATGTATGTATATCACATTAACCAAATTTTTGAATAACTTTAAATGCAAACGTTAAAATAATAACAAGAGACTTAGGTTGCTTTCAAAATAAACGATCTAATTATTAGTTAATAAGTTAATAATTAGTAGAAATTTATGTATGAATAAATTTATTATTTCATTTATTATATTATCAATGGTAAGCAGAATGTGTTGACATTATGGGAATCATTAATTGCTTAATGTAATAAAATGTTTTTTAAAATACAAATTATATTAGCATTATTTATTATGTAAGTACATTATGCAAAAATAAATTAAAAGATGATGTTTTATTTTTGAATACTTAATTTTTCAATAATAAAAATATAAAATAATGGAATATTACTTAATAATATAATTCCAGAAAATAGTACAATCCGTGTCAAATAAAAATAAATTAATGATATAAATGATTGCAGCATTTGAAACATTTCTAAATTTATTAAAATTTTTGGTAATTCCATTTTTGAAACCATTAATTTTGGTATAGGTATTTATTAATATTTTTATAAATGAAAATTAAAGTAAATAGGCTCATTAACTTTACTAACAAGGAAATTTGTCTTATGTTCAACTCTTTAAAACATGCACATGTAACATGTACTTTCATTGGGTTCTAAAAATTATTTTTGGAAAGCTTTTCACGAATTGAAAATTATACACCAGGTGTGGAAATTCATTATTTCTTATTGTATCATTTCAGAGAAATAGAAACGTGGAAGAAACTGCGCTTGAATATACAAAATAGTTGATAGTTTTTGAAAAGACTTTTTGTTTTTATAAAACTTTAATATGCTTACTAGTTATTAGTTAATGAATCTAATCTTTATCGGTAATCAAACCATATTGAAGTACTGAACTAAAAACAATTCCAACTAATAAGATTTTTGTACAGTAATAACTAATAAAATGTATATGTATATACATACCAATTTTGTGCCACATATTTGCCCTTTTAGGTCATTGTTACTACCATTTGTATCATTATTTCCAGATGAATTATCTTTGTTATCATCGTCAATATTTTGCATATTTATAGAAGCTGAAGATAGTGTAGCGTTTGCTTCTGTTGTTGCTTCTGTAATTTGTGTGGTTTCTTCCAAAATTTCATTGTTTCCTGTTGGCATTATTATTCCGTGTTTTTTTATTTTTGCTTTCTAATTGACTTAGTTATAGAATTCTACATAAACTTTTTTTTTGTTTTTAATTTGCTTAGTTTTTATGTTCCTTGTTTCATTAAAATTAATAGTAATGTTCTTTATTTACATGATTTTGTTTTTTTTTCTTCTGAGGTAATTGACGTAAATGAAAGATTCACGTTTTTTTTCTGCTTTGAACACAATATTTAATCAGTTGACTTTATGTTCTCCAAATGTTTCTTCTAATACTTTTTCATTGCAATAGGAAAAACATGCAGAAAAAATATAGGCAGTTCATTTAAAAATTTATTTGACAGATGATATTGAAATGTTTTTTTTGTTTTCTTACTGGATATAACGGTAAAGATAGTAATTATAATTGTTGCTAGATGTTAACAAAAAAATTTATGCAATTTGTAGGTGATTTTGTTACTTGCGATTTGTTATAAAATTTTATTGACAATAATCGAGTCTTTTATTTGGCGGTGTATAAGCGGCTGGATCATAAGCACCATTTGGAAAATTTTTTTCTTTATAAAGTGATGTTAGTTTGTATTTGCTGTTTATATTTTTGTCGGGCTTTTAACGCATCTGTGTAGTTTGCTTTCTATGTTTGTTCTGTTGATTTTTTTTATTTTTCTAGAGAATTTAGAGTTTATTTTTAAGGTAATGTTTACTAGAGTTTAATGTTTGTGCGTTCCTCTTGTTTCTTTTAAAACGTATATACATACTCAGTTGATTTTCATCTGAAAAAAATGAAAAAGTTGAAATTAAAGAATTGTTTAAAAATTTATTTTGTGTAAAAGAAATTTCTTATTATTCAAATCTTAAATTTTTCTTCAAACTAAATATTTAATACATAGTTCGAAGAGTGTTGCCTCATTAAGTTAATATTTATGACAATTGAAAATATGCTCATACTACATTCCTTCTTTTCAAAAATGAAGCTAAAACATGATTTATGAATTGTCAATATGAAGTTACGAGTATATATACATATTAAATAACAACTAGCACTCGGCCGTACAAAAAATATTTTCCGCTATATTATACGAAAAAAATGGATATTTAGATGAGTTCCCAAAGTATACTTGCACCTTTTTTTACCAAATATGGCCAAACTCTATTGTCAATCTGTTGAACTACAAAAACAAGATTTAAAAAAAAAAAGGATTTTATACATTAAATGGAAACTACAGTAATTGCCTCCGCGGATCATCGGCAATGAATTGAAATATTTCATTTCAAGCATGTTGCAGCGAAAAAATTGATTTCATTGTTTTTGAGGTTTTATCAAATGTCAATTAAATTGTAAAGAAAATATCACAGCAGTAATACAGAAATTTTGATACCCAATCCTGCATACCTCATACATTACGGGTTATCACAAACTTAAAAATTGATTTTATATTTAATTACTACTTGATTTGACTGAAATACCATTTATGGGAACACTGTTTTAAAAGAATGAAAGATTTGTTAATGTTAAAAAAATTTAAAAAAAAAACAAAGATCGAAGAAAAAAAGTGTAAACAATAAATGTATTTATATTGCTTTCTCGTTTCTGCGTTCTTCTTATTTACAAATAGAATTATAAATTTTAAAAATTTTCTAGCGGTAAAAATAACATTTTTTGAGTGATGAATGCGGTAAAATTATTATTATATTTTTCAAAAAGAAAGAATGAATAAATGCTTTAATGTATTTTATTTATTCAGAATTTTACAGATTTATGACAAATAAATGTTAATTTCCTGTGTTTATTAATGTCATTTTACTAATGTATACAAATATTCAATAATAAAAGAGAGTCGTCAAAAGAAGTTTTTGTGACAAAGTTGTGTAAGTTTCGAAATCATATAAAAGATTTTAAATCTTTACTCAAGTTTTTTTACAAAATTATTAAAGTTTTGTATTTGTAATACATAATTAGTAATACATAATTGTAATATATAATTAGTTTTGCAAAACAACTCCAAATTAATAAGGCAGATGGAATTAATTTGAATGACAATAACATAATGATGGATTTTAAATGTGCTTTTATCAAATATAAATAAAAATTTTCTTGAAAACAGAATATAAATTATAACAATGCCAGTAAGTAAGCAAATTAAAAATAAAAAACTAATATTTATTACTACTTTCTATCTTGTAATAATTAGAGTGTAAATTAAATTAATTGATATAAAAACAGAATGAATTAATCGGATTAAATTAAATTTTACATCATTTTCTTTTAGAGTGGGTTGATGTCATTTCTAATAATTATAGCGTTAATAATTTTTATACTTAACTTGAGTCATGTTTTTGATTTTTAATTTTTTAATTATAGCATTTTTTCGTAATCATATGTTACTTAATAATGGTACCTAGTTAAAACTTTTTTTCTGATTTGTTTTTTTGTAAATTAATAATCAAATAACATTTATGAATGTGTTATTGATTCTTTTTGATTTGATAAAAAGTGAAAATTATTTTTTTATTTTCTTAATAATAAATAAAAATCTAGCTCAAAATATTTGAAATTAATAATGGAAGTATAATCATAATTATTAGTTTTGCTATAAACGTTGCTATAGCGAAAAATGAAACTGGAAATAAATTTTTAATAAAATTTAACTTTAATATTCATTATTATTATTTATTATACTTAATTTTATATATATAGAATAGTTCGCAACAAAATAATTTATTATTTATTAAAATAATTAATTTTTGCATGCATGCTGCCACACTTTTTTTTTCGTACTCCATACTTTTAAATTGCTCTATGAAACAATTAAATTATTATTTAAACTTTAAATATTCATTTACTGTACAGGATGTTTTAATTTTATGATACAACAGTTTACAATATGACAAAACTTAATACATTACATACCAAAATTGAAATGTGGAAAATGATAGGTATAAGAAGCGGATAGTGTATAAGTGGCAACAACCGGTGGCGCTGTTCATTTGTGAATTTTAAAATCGTGAATGATGTAAATATAAAAATAATAGAAAGAACAAAATATAATTTCTTAGAAATGAGTAAATGACACATAGCGGCGCGCTTTAAAAAATTAGCACATTTTGATTTTCAAAATCATAAATGTCAACGACAAGTCAAAGCGTCAATATTCCAGAATACAAGAAGAAGCGGTAAATTGAAATTAGTTTTTAAACAAGATTTTTTTTCAAACGGAAAATAAATTGAAAACTGTTTTACGAAAAACAATTGAAAAATTCGTCTTTTAATAGCTTCTTAAAAGGACTTAATTTTAGCAAAGAATGGATTGCCTTTAGACATCGTCTCTTGGACTACTGCATCCAATACGAAAGGATTCCATTACAGTGAAACTTCCCGGCATAATTGAACTCTGCATTTTTTAAATGCAGACTAATGAAATAAATTGGCCGTCATCATCAAAAAAATATTATAACTCAACTATAATTTTGGTTTTCGGAAATTAAAAAAAGGAGGATATGATTGAAGTTAAATTTGAAGGAAGTCAAGAACAAATAATTTTGCAAAAATGAGATAAATGTACATATTTCTCTACAAAAAAAAATGCAATAATATTGCATGTCTGGATCATTTCAAGTGGATAATAAATTCTTTAAACAAATTGGAAAAAATTTTTAACGTAGCTTCATTCATAACCGAAACTAACATTTTGATCAAATTCAAAATGCCAAAAGCATGTAAAATATATAATACTTATAAAAAGACATACCCTGTACCTACATACATATTGTTTGCATGCTGTACATCTATCAATGATGTATTAAATTTATACATATATGTACATATATAAAAGGCAATCAAAGTATAACTAATTTGTATGATGAAAATAAATTGATCACATTAGGATATTAGTGAATAGCCATTCTGTAATTGAAGTAGCTGGAATGTATGTAGGTATGTATGTATATTTTGTAATTTTATTAAATTGTTTAAAATTGTAAAATTTCTAGTTTATTAAAGGTATTACATAGATATATATTCATATACATTTACCCAGTAATTATATTTATAAATGTATGTATGTAAATATAAACGTAATACAGTATAAATATACATACCATGCAGATAATTTCAAAGATGGCATAATAGCCGTGAATCGTGGTTATTATTTAATGCGTCTTGGCGTCTTATATTGGTATAAGTAGTTATACTATATAAATATGTAATAAGTATCTTAAATTTCGTGTAATTGTGTCAAGTATAGAATGAAAAAATTAAAATGAAACGTACAGTATAAATAGAAAAACAATATTTTTCCCCGTTTTTCTTTTTGTTCTTGTGTAACAGCGATTAAAATGAATAAAATTGATATTACACCTAATACAAGTAGTGTTTAAGATCCATGTATTCATTGAATTCAATATATTTGTTTTGGTTATTGGATATTGACAATAATATAAGGTTAACTTTACTAGTCAAAAATATTAATAAATTCAATTCATCTATTAATTTGAAAAATTTATTAATATTATAATTAATAATAGTCCCTTTTTGTCTTTGGTATTCGAAGGGTTATATATACGTTACAGTTCTGTTCAGATTTTTAATGAATATAAAATGTTTTGGAAAGAAATCCGGAAAGAAGTATCTTCATATCTAATTGAAGAAGTACGTAAAGGGTCTAATTAAAGCAGCATATAAAAGTATTCGCTATAGTGTGCTTTCTTTATAGAATCAATAAATTTCAATTATTTTTTTATATGTTGAGCTCGTATTTTGTGTTATATGTATGTACATACTAACATTTTTGTATACGAGGGTCACTATTTATATTTCGGGTCCTGGCAATACTAGTGCTGCCAGGTGCAATCTGACACTTCCATTGGAAAATTTGACATTTTTTAGGACAACTTCACTCAGAACGTTTTGTCATTCGAACGCGAATTGTTTTGTTTACAGTGACTTGAAAAATTCATCTCGGTCAAAAAATGGAATTGTCCCGTGAAAATTTTCGTGCGATGATTTTTGACAAGAGTGTCTCGATCAACTTGTTTCGACTTTTGGTGATGAAGCACCATCAAAAGCCACTGTAAATCGCTGGTACCAAGAGTTTGGTTTCGGACGCCGTTCGCTCCAGGATGAATTTCGTGAAGGTGGGCCAATTTCGGTCGTTTTGCCGGAAACCATCGATGCTGTGCGCGAAATGATAATGATGGACCGGCATGTGACATACTGTGAGATTGAGGCATCCTTGGGCATTAGTTCCACCAGCGTACATAAGATATTGCATGAACATCTTGCCGTGAAAAAGGTGTGTTGTCGATGGATCCCAAAAAATTTGACGATTGCACAAAAGAAGGCTCGTGTCGATTGGAGCAAAGAAATGTTGAAAAAAATCAATCGCGGTGCGTCAAGAGACGTTTATAAGATAGTCACAGGTGATGAATCATGGATCTATGCATATGAGCCCAAAACGAAACAGCAATCGACCGTATGGGTGTTCCAAGACGAGCCAAATCCAACAAAAGTTGTTCGTGGAAGAAGCACATCGAAGCAAATGATCGCGTTTTTTTTTGGTATAACCGGTCATGTGGCCACAGTACCTTTAGTGGAACGTAGGACGGTCAATTCTGAATGGTACACCACCATCTGTTTGCCGAAAGTTTTCGAAGAAATAAGGAAAACAAACAAGCGCCGGCGAATCATTCTTCATCATGACAATGCAAGCTCTCACAAATCAGCTGAAACAATGGACTATTTGAGCACTCAAAATGTCGAATTGATGGGTCATCC